CTTCTTGTTTTCAGCTTCAGTTTCTAATTCAATTACCCTTGAATAAAGCAAAATAATGTTCATATTCAAACTTTGATATATTTTTTTTAGAGATTGTTAGTATATAAAATGTGGCGCTTTGTTGTGCAGGACAGCAAAACCCTTGTTCGGAAAAGGATCAAAGCTGAGCGTGGGGATGGCCTGTCATCATCAGAGTCTGCTTCAGAATCTGACCATACAGAGGAGGTTGGTATTCATATTTTGCTGTAGTGGTTAAGTGCACGGACTCTAATCTGGGAGAACCGGGTTTGATTCCCCACTCCTCCACTTGCACCTGGCTGGATGACCTTGGGCAAGCCGTAGCTCTGATAAGAGCTGTTCTTGAAAAAGAGCAGTTTCTGTCAAGAGCTCTCTCAGCCCCACCCACCTCACAGGGTGTCTGTTGTGGGGAGGGGAAGGGAAAGGAGTTTGTAAGCCACTCTGAGACACCTTTGGGTAGTGAAGGGCGGGGTATAAATCCAATCTCTTCTTCTTCTTCTACATCAGTCCCGATGTAATAGAAATATATTCAGCAGATTAAAAAAACCCCGTTCATTGGAACCTGCGATAATTTGGGAGTCACAGCATATAATTATTTAAAATTAATTTTAAGCATTGGTACAGCATTAAAAACGAGTCAATAAATCATTACAATAAAATAATACAATAATACGCTGTATAATATCAACATTTTCAACACAGAAACAGTTTCAGCAGGGAACATAAATCAGGAAAGAGCTCTTTTGAATAGAAAAGTTTTGCATCCCCTGTGAAAGTTGTACCAAAGGAATTGTTTATCCAACTTCTGAAGAACTGAACTTTATTGTACCATGCATTTGAGAACGGAAGGCACTTCTCCACACAGTTACTGTCCAATATTGGTATTTGTTGTTGATTTCTGTTTTCATTTTCTAAATTCTGCGTGTCAACATGTTTGAAAACATTATTCTCTTCTTTTCCTATTCCACCTCACCCCACACCTTAGGTACCAACAAAAAAGAAGAAAAATTATGAAGAAAAAGAAAAAAATGTGAGCATTTCCCTTAATCAAGAACCTTCAGAAAGCACTCGTCTTAAACTTAAGAGGAACATAAATGTGTGTTGACACACACACCCTGTCCTGACCACCTACAAGGCGGCGCAAAATAAAAATGTACTAAATAGATAACGTTGACTTTGTGTACAGTTTATCAGTAGAGCAATAAGGATATTCTAATTTTATATATGAATTATATTTGCATCATACTTTTCAGACAAAACAGTTAGAATTCAGTACGCAATGCTGCTGTCCATATAACCAAATGCACTATACATAAACAAAAAATAAATCTTGAATCCTGACTGCAAATAAAGCAGAGGAGGGAAGGGTGCTCAATACGACAGTGTCACAGTGAAGTTTGTTAGTGGGCATTTACATCCTGCTAGGATCAGTCTGATGTTCTCTTGACCATTTAATGTAGGGCAGCCAAGCATGTCTGGCAGCCTTTTTCAAACGGGCTCTCCTGGATCATGGACAGACATTCTTTTCCAGCTTTGCTATCCGATGTTCCAGAACTGAATTTTGGGCTTCAGGCATCTAGAAGAACCACTCAGCCAGTGAACAAATGCCTCCGCACAGAGCTAGATTTATGCACCAGCTAAGTAAGCTACATCTTAGGGCCCCAGACTATGCAAGGCTTCTAAATATGAAAAAACCCCTAAATTACATTGTTTTGAGAAAGCTGTGGGGCCTCTGCATGTGTTAATCCTACCCTGCCTTGGCTGTTCAATGGTTTAATTTCCTTGGATGGCGCTAGTGTAATTTTGAGATTGCTTTGGTGAAAATCTTTTGAAAATATGCATACTCCGTCATAGACTGAGTGAGCTGAGCTTAGACTCATAAAATTGTTCCTAATTTTTTGTTTTGTTTTCAAAGGATAAATCAAAAAAGCGAAAGAAGCACAAGAAACACGGCAAAAGGAAGTAAAAGAAGCTAGCTCAAGTTCTCATTTGGAATAACTTCAGTTGAGACTTTTCCCCCCTAAAAATCGAAAGTGCAATGAGACTAGAGAAAACTGCAACTGTGAAAATGATGATGACTTTACCAAACTGCATGAGCTCTCCTGTGTTTTAACAATATTCTAGACTTTCAGCTTGCCCAGTGCCATGGAGCTGGAAGTAGCCATTGTTGCTGCCTGATGCTTAAAACACGTAGTACCTCTTTTCCTCTCTCTGTCTGTCTGTCTCTCTTTTATAGCTGGTGTTAAATGTTCTTAAATAAGTCCTGCACATGGTTTAAATGATTCAGCAGCACTGTGGAGTTGGATTGATGCTAAAAGGTTTTTGCCTGTGCTCTGTTACACACATGCAGCTTTTACGTTAGGGTTCTTCTACCGTGTAATGAAAGGAACTGGTTCTTGCACCCAAAGCAATTGTGAACATGGATCAGCTTCATCTGTTGTGATAAAAGGAACAGACTTTGTGGACAGTATATGCAGTGCAGCTGCTGTGCCCATGATCAGAAAGCTGCTTTGGGTGTTTATTTTTATCAGGATAGTGATTGAATATTCAGTTTGTTCATTATGAAGACATTTTTACAAAATTCCTCTTTAAAGAGGAACACATCATAACAATTTTGTTGACAATTCGTTGATGCTTTTTGAAATCAGTATATGCCTGTAACATACACATTTGTTACTTTCATAGATGTGTGTGATTTTGCATTTGATTTTGGGGCAAGACATGGGTGTTTGTGCTGTCTTGGATTAGCAGAAATCGTTGACTTTGCTGATACTGTAGCTGTGCTTGCAAGGGGATTGATTGTCAGCAGCTTCTCTTTGAATATTGGGCTGAGTCCACTGGGAATGTTTCCTATGCAAGCCCTGCTGAAATAAAGGGGAGTTGCCCAGGAGCAATTGTGCAGATAGGCTATGTGGGCAGAGACAACCATGCTTCTGTGTTCACATGTCTTCCCCATTGACAGGGAGGCAGGATGGGCTAGTAGTTATGACAAAAGGTTGCATGTGTGAGGGGAACTCTGCTGCCTTACTTCACTCATGCATTGTTGCTTCTCCCCAGCTCTGGGAGAAAAGTGCCTGCAGCAGTAGAGTGTAGGGAGGTGGAGGAATAGTTGAACTTCTTATTCCTCCCTGTATTCTTAAAATACATAGTCACACCTGCATCCCACTTCCCTGCTTTATATATGAACAGTGCAGGCACATGAATAACAAATGTAGCTGTCCCCTCACATCTGGCTTGGCTGTTAATTTTGGAACTATAGCATACGCTGCCAGGCTTAGCAAAAACACCAGTGCATAGCTGACATCCAAAAAGTGTGGGTTTTATCCCCATTGAATTACAAGAATACTGTGCTAGTAATGTGCATTACTATCATTTGAAGTATTGGTGAGTTGGACTGAACTTTTTTTTGGCAACTACTTTTATTCCTTGTGTTGTAATTAAGGTATTTAGAATTAATATTCTGCATGATTTTTGTACCATTTTTAAATTAACTAATAGAGGAATACAGTTGTAACCAGTGGGTTGTTTGTTTTCTCCCTAATAATTATGTTCCACATGCAGCATTATTATAGATGTTATAGTTTCTATTGCATTCATGACTATGTTTAAATGCATTCTTGCTGAAGATATTTAGCATGTAAAACGCTGGGGGGTTTGATATCAAACAGCTTCATATTGAAGCTGATTTTATTCTACGCAAGTTCAGTGGCAGACCTGTTATGCAACTACGTCTTGGAATATAAAATTACCGGCCGACACTCAGTAAAAAAAATGTTTTAAAAATGTCTTTTCTTTCTGGATTTTGTGTGTGTGTTTATTTATTTATTTATTTTAGAAAAACCATGAGGGTACAGAAAAGAAAAGGGGGAAAGGAAAAAATGGGTTATGCAGTCATTCTTCTGTTGGCCTATCCCTTAAGGTCTGGGATGTTCAAACCAGTTTGATGGTGGGGAAATCTCTGGTAGCGCCTTAATTTCTCTCTGGTAGTGTGGATGTGGGTTCTTTTGGGTCAGTAACTTATAACAATTGGCTTAAAAAAACATTAAATTTATTTACAAAATATAACACAATAAAACATACAAGTAGAGGGAAAGGGTGTGTACATAGAAAGCTAGGTTTGTTTTGTTGTCTTTGTTCTATCTGGTGCACTGAGCAGGTTGTTTCCAGCAGCAGATGCCAAAGCAGAGTTCGCCAAGGATCATAACTTCCTCCTCCAGGCCACCAGTTCTTAAACGGCAGCCTCCTTCCATCGCCTCCCAATGTCTTGCCTGTGATGGTGTATTTATCTCTCTTGCAAAGTCCTGGCATCTCCTGGGATCCTGGTCCAATCGGATGTTTAGCTGTCCCTGACTCCTGGCTAAATACTTGGTCCAGCTGTCATGAGCTAACTGACAAACCAATCAGAACCTAGATCACTCCATCTAGATTGAGAACTGTCAAGATCTAGGAACATCATGTTGGTGTTTTGACAGCTTCCAGCTGTCTGCTGTTAAGCCAGCTGGCAATTTGCAGCAGGTGCTTGCTATCTAATTACACTGTAGGTCTTACACGATCCAGCTACAACTTAGTATCTTACTTACAAATGCAGAACTTAGGCCTTAAAGACCCAGTTACATGATATTCTCATTTAAGTTTTCAGTTTCAAACTTCATAAATAATTTATTTTAACTACACTGGTTTCATCATTACTACGTATTCAACATACCATTTTTGCCACTTCTACATACTCGTTAGAACATTTAATAGACAAGTAGTATACCACGGTGTAAAAGAAAGTCTATTATGGCCCTGTTCACACAAGGCATTTTGGGCCGGGAGAGGGACGGATCGGGGCCGCATCAAACGGGCGCGATCACACAGCAACATCTGGCAATCGTGCCGTGGCCGTCCCTGATCTGTCCCAACCGCCCAAAACGCGCATCAAAAAAGAACCACCTACCTGGGTGGTTCAATTGAATGGGCCGCGGCAAATGCGACCGTGGGATCGCCGGCGGGTCTTTTCGCCGGCGCATCCCCTGCCCCCTGCCGTACTGCGCATGCTCAGTTCGGCAGCCTCCCCCTCCCACTCGTCTCTTCCTCCCTGGCATCTGATCGTGCCGGGGAGCAACGGCGCGCGGCTAACGGGATCCGTTGGATCCCGCCGCGGCATTTCTTTTTCGGCGCGGCTTTTAAAAGCCGCGCTTCGCCCCGTGTTTTCCCTGCCGTGTGGCAGGGGCCTATATATCATATAGAGAATCCATTTATATTCAGGATCTTACATTTGGAACAGATTTTGATTCTACTTCTATTTTATTACCATACGTTTGTGATATTTTCTCACTTTAGGTTTGTCTCCTGCTGCCCTGACCTGGATAGCCCAGGCAAGTCCGATCTTGCCAGATCTCAGAAGCTAAGCAGGGTCAACTCTGGGAAGTACTTGGATGGGAGACCTCCTTGGAATACCAGAGGGGGGAGGTGGGCCACCTCTCTGAATACCCTTCAGGACCCCTGTAGGGGTCAGTCACCAGAGGTTGCCATGACTTTCAGATGCGCACATAATCACACACGCATGCATATATGAAAAGTATTTTAAAAACCCAAATTTGTCTCCTGCTAGCATAATACACACTCCACCTTCCCTCAGGCTTTGTAATAAACCTGTTTCTCAAACAGGTTGTTAATTTTGCCATTACTGCATATTCAACAAGACACACACACCCCCCCCAAAAAATCTGGACGGTCTATCTTTTCTTCTTTGAAGTGAAGCCTCCTTTTCTTCTATGCTGAGTCTTCTCAGTTCTCATTTCGTTCCCTCTGTTCTTCAAACCAAGCCCTTTATCTCTTCCATTGTCCTCTCTTTGTCTCCCAACCATCCCTTTCCCACTCCACACCCCCCCCACACACCCTTGCTGTCTCATGGCGTTCTGTGCTCCCATAGTAACCAGAACCTCACGGCGACCTGCCTTTCTACCTCTCCACTCCCCGTGCAAAGCGCTCGCTACGCAGGCCTCCGAGCAAGGCGGCAGCGTTTTCCGCCTCACTGCGGCTTCGCGTGGGCGACTAAAGGCGTGCTCGGGCTTCTAGTTCACCGTCTCGTGTGGGGACCGGGGTGTGTGTGTCAAATGCATTAAGAAAGGGCAGCAGGGAGGCCCTTCGGCTTCACTTCTCTCTCTCTCTCCATTGAAGTTATACTTCAATCCTCTTGACGGGCGGGCTGGAGTGCATTCTGTTGCCACGGCAGCCGCTTGGTCAGAGAGGTGGGGAAGCAGCAGCAGAGGACGCCGAGGAGATGAACAGGAAAAAGCTGCAGAAGCTGGCCGACTCCTTGTGCAAAACTGCTAGACACTGTGAGTAGAAGGCGAACCTTCCCTTCCTCAGCTCTCTGGCCCCGTTCCCGTTCATTTCAGTCGCGCTCTCTCGAAACCTGTCCACCATCCCTCCCCACCGCACACACACCCGTCTCTCATTATTTTACCATCCACCGCTTCCTCCAAGGAGCTCAAGGCTGAGTAGAGGGTTCTCCTTTCCTCCTTTTATCTTCACAACAGCCCTGTGAGGAAGGTTAGCCTGGTGTGATTGGCCCAAGGTCACTCCAGCAACATTAAAGCATGTGGGAATTTGAATTCAGGTCTTTCGGATGATCTTTCACTGTAAACGGGACAGTTACTGTTCCTGAGATTAAAATCCCTATTTAATTCTACACAGGCTTTCTGATAGTTCACAGGGCTGTGATTTAGCACCCCGTTCCTCATGGTAAAGTGCTTGATCCCAAACCCACAAGCCTGTTACCTCTTGCTTTCTCTGTTGTGTGCGGTGGTCATTTTGAGTAGCTGGATCATCACTGGTTTAAAAGCCAAGACAGACAGTATTTGTTTAAAGATATGTTAGAATTTGAAATATGTTAGAGAAACTGACAATGTGCCAAGGTGCCAGGACCTTTTTCTTGCTGGGAAAAATGTACACATTACTGAAGGGATGGCTTTTTCTAGTGTACCCACAGAGACTAAATCTTGGACACTGAACAAACTTTTGTTATCCATGTGTGTACAAGTAATATAATTGTTAATGACTGTATTAGTGAAAGATCTGTTGACCATGTAATAAAGATGACACAAGTTTAAATAGATGGTTTTACAGTTTTCCTGATTAAAGCAGAAGAGAACAAATCTGTTTGCCGTTAAAAGCCATATAAATATTAAAAATGCTTGTTTGAAATTATTTTCCTTCTTCTCAATCTACCTGTAACATAAACTGCACTTATTATTGAATAATGAGGAAAGGGGTATAAATGTATCAATAATTGAATTAATTAATTAAAATAAAAGGACATGTTATCAATAGTTTAGTGTGCTCTTTCATAGCATTGTTTCATTTAATGATTTTCCTGACTTCTCATTTTATAGTTAATAAATTTGAAGTGGAATGTCTCATAAAACTTTTCAACAACTTGGGAGTGGAGCCTAGTGAACGGCATGCAGTTGTTGGCTTAGATCGTAACTCATTCCGAAATATCCTACATGTCACATTTGGAATGACAGATGACATGATTATGGACAGAGGTGGGGCGAAAAGCATTTTTACAAATTTATATTTAACATGTCCATTACAAGGTGTCTCTCGT